ACCTTGGCCCCTGACGAACCAATATATGAGTGCAGGTTCAAGCGCAGGTTACGTGCACCTGCGTCTGCAAATGCATCACGCTTTCCAGCGAAAACGAGGGAAGCTGAGAAGGGGGCAGGCGCAGACAAAAATAGACGATGCATCGTGTTAGCAGGCGACGCCGACGCTGGCAGGCCCTCGCGCCGATCCTGGGGCGCTCATACTAACAGTGGGGCCAGGTATAGCTGCAGATCTGGCGGCTGTTTCCTACCTCCCACCTCGTATCCGAACAGACCACGATGGAGTAAGAACATCTTTTTTGCTGCAGCTGCTGGGTCATCCTGGTCACCGTCAGCTGCGTTGGGTCAACGAATCTGACTTCTAGGAAAGGCGACCGCCCTCCCATGCCCCAAGCTCCAAGCTCGAGGTGCTCCTTCCCCACTAACCGTTGCTTCAGGGCAATGGAGCAACCGAGTACAGCCTGACAGCAGGTGCCTGTCCAGCGTACTTTCTTGTTTGGTGTCTAGTCCAACCTACAGATTCTGGCAAAAGTGAACACATACAAAACCAATAGAAAAATTTCAGCTTCACACCCGCATGCTTCTCCACCACAGTCACTAAGTTTTGTAGGCAGGCCAGGGCTGTACCAAGATTGACGAACAACGCATTGCCGCCGCCACTGCAAGGTCGCAGTGGCTGCTGCCGGCATCCGTTCAGGAATTGTTTCCCGTCACCCCCGCTCACCCCCTCATTGGCGATTCACGACTCTGTTAGCGACCAGTCAATGATATGAGCCTTGGGGGGGCCTAACAGACGACAGTCTGATGTTTCTCTTGGACTGATGCACGACCACGCGAACTGGCCACTAATCCTGGATCGGTCCCCCTGATCCGCTTTCTTTACACCCACCTCCTCCCTTGACGACCCCCGATGACCTGGCTCTGGCTAGCTTGTTACTTTTTAGCCTCCCTCGTCTCGCTTCAGACTTGAACCGACCAGGACAAGCCAGCCGGATTGATCTAGGCGCGCCCCTCTTTCGGATTGTCCTGACATGGCCTCGCCTTGGCCCGCCTCTTAGCGGCCTCTCTCGGTGGCTTCTCTTTCCACGCTGCTTCTGCCGGAGTACTCTACCGGGACGGACGGTCGTGAACTTACTTACTTGCACCGTCGTCACATCCCGTTGCACTCCCCCTCCCTTCTCTCTCCTTCTTTGTCGTCCATTAATGCAATCCATCGCGCCAGATCTCGTGTCACGAGCATCGTCACTCTCGTTTTTATTCTTCTTCTTTCCAATCCATTCTACGGCACAAGAATTCAGTAATATCCAGCAGACAGACCGATCGCTGGTCACCCCACCTCTCAACACCTCAACCATTATCGTCACCAATAGACACTTCAGCGCATGCGAGGGCCAGAAGTAGTCACAGACATATCACACGTCGCATCCCCGCCGCCCCGAGGACAAAAATAATAACCCGTCGATTATTGCGCTTGCAACAGCGTAGCCCGCTTCTCTTGCGTTTCGCTGATATACCGCTTCCTTTTCTTTGTGTGCTCACTATTCTTGTTTGCTCGTCGGCAGGACCCACCGTGATATACATTCACCAGGAACATTTACCGACGCCAACTATACCGACAAAGGCCGGTCTCCCACCCCGGTATTAAAACTGGCCATGGCCTCTGCCACTGCCCGTCGGGAGTCCGCCGCCTCTGCCCATCCTTCGAGGTCCTCTAATATGGACAAGATGCTGGAGTTGGAACGCAAGTGCAAGGTAATACCTCCTGCACTTCACCAATATCACCTCCGTCTGGCTAACATTGCATTCCCCTCGTAGATGGAACGGCTTCATCAGACACCGTTGATGAATCCTCTGTCGCAGAACCCTCCGTCACCCTATGAGCAATCTCACCTGCAACCGCTTCAGCAACGCACTAGCACCATGCCTCCGCCTCCACGCGCTCCTTTGCTGGCCCGCCGAAGAGATTCGTCCGTCCCTTGCGACCTCCTCGCCACTGCCTCAAATTCTCAAACTAATGAGGTCGTTGGCTTGTCCATCACTGTTCCTCCGCCACCCAACCGCAACACGCCTCAGATCGAGCGAAAGACTGAGCCACGGCCTCAGGCCAAGGTTGAACCTGTACCCACAGTCGAGGCACCACTGACGCCCCTCAAGTCGTCTAGCAAGACTGTTACCTTCATGCCGGGTGAGAAGGATGAGGGAAAAGACGACGCCTCCTCCATCTGCCAGTCTCCCAGCTGGGAAGGCTATGGGCAGCGCAAGAAGGAAAAGAAGGACGAGGCCAAGCAGCGACGCAAGGACGAGAAACAGGCTGAAAAGGACAATAAAGAGGCAAAGAGGAAGTCCACCACACGCCTGACCAAAGCCCCTCCTACACCGAGCCACCCGCCCATCACCGAGAGATCTTACTCGAGTCCTGCCTTGACAACACAAAATCACACTCGTCGCTCCAGCTCCCAAGAACCAACGCCACCGCTGTCTGCTCGCCCTAAACATGGCAGGTCACGGTCTAGTTCTGTGACGTCTCAGCTCCGTCTTGCCCTAACCGGTAATTGGGGCAAGGAGAAAGAATCTGGTTTCGTCGGAGGTCTCAAGTTGGATCAAGAGAGGGAAGCCGCCGATCGTCCTGCTGATGGCCACAGCACACAGGCGGTTCAGAAGTCGTCACGCAGTTCGTCTCGTGACACCAGGTTCAACTTGAGTTTACCCAAGGCCCACTCTTTTGGAACAGGATCGCGAGCCTCGAGCCAGACTCGGCCCGGACTGCCCCGCCAGATGTCCGCTGATGGACAGTCAAATGTCCACCCACTCCTCCGCCGAAAGGGCGCTTCACCCATTTCCATACGCTCATCATCCCGGTCTGAGATTCTCATTTCGCCTACTGCACCACCGATGCCTGGACTGAAGACACTTGAGCAATGGAGGACCCGTCCCAAGCCCAAAGCGCCTGAACAGGAGCCCATGACGCCTGAGGAGGCACTTAAGGCGTCCGCGCAAGAACTTGTCAAGGCCAAAGAAGAGGAAGCTGGGCTCGCTCTTGGCAGCCCTGACACGGAGGAGCCGAGGCGAGGACGCCAATTTGCGAACTACGTCCGTCGTTCACGATGGCAGAGTTCAGAGCGGGCGGGCTCTGTGGTGGTGGAAGAAGGTCGCACGGCAGCACGGTCCCATTACCCGCCTCAAGCGAATCGTCAACATCACAGCCGTGCATATTCGCTAGCTAAGGACCGAGTCTCAACGACCCAGGGTTCTTCTACCCCACGGACTAATCGCTCCGGTGAGCCTCGTTCACCCGGAGACAGCACTCCTGAGGTAAACCGCCTCGGCGACCGCTCGACTTCGACCGACAGGTTGCCATTCACCCCTTCACTGGGCCCTAATGGGTTTAAAAGTGCCATGCAGGCCGCTCTAGCCAAGGTCAGACCGACATCCAGACCACCTACCGCGGCTTACTTTGACCGCCCTCGCCGTGACGCCTCGACGCCCGATTCCAGAGCTACATCTCGAACATCCAATCGCGACCGGCTGTCGCACATGCCAAAAGCAGCCCGTGTCCTAGGCGAGTACAATGAAGAAACCATGAGGGGACATGATTCCGCGCGACCCTCGTCGGCGTCTTCTTCTTTCTATGCCGATTCGATTCACTCGCCATCATCAGTAACGACGCCGAATTCTTCACGCCCCCAATCGCACAAGGGCTTTCCTGTTATGGTTGGCGAGGTTAGCCAGGGTGCGACGGGTCACTTTCTTGTGACCAACGATGAGAGAGCATGCCAGCAGTCTCAGCGTGGCACCATGACCTCGGCATCGAGCCCAATGACCCCGAGAAGTGTCCTTCCAGGGCTCACTCAGATAGTCCAAAAGGACAATGCGGGAGAGACCGACCTGGAGCAATTCGTGCGTGAGAGTTGGGATAAGACGTTGAAGCACGCAGAAAACGATGTCGAGTCATTCACGACTTGCCTGACACCACAAGAAGCAGACGAATCCAAATCTTCTTTGGTCTGCCCTCCTATGTCTGGCTCTCATGACCAGGTAGAGCCCAAAGAGGAGAGCACTCGGCTCGAAACGGCTCCGAACACCCTTGCCCGAGCGCCGAGTCTGTCTAAGAGCCAGTCAAGCCCCAACGTCGCCAAATGCGGACTCGGCCCGGACTCGGCCCCGGTACCACCTCCGCGATCCAACGCACGTACCAGCCCTACCGTGGGACACACTTCCTCCGTATCCCTCCCGGATGCACTGACAATGACATTCGGTCCGTATCGCACGACCGACCCTGCCGTGCCGCGCCCCTTGCGAAGCCCCCGCATGCCCGGGTCCCCCTTGGCTAAGATGCTCGTCGAGTGCTGCCAGTGTCGGTTCTTCCACGACATGCCGAGCCGGGTGTACGAGTGCATGGCGCGCCCCGACGCCACTGCTGAAGACTCAGCCCTCGGTGTCAGCGGCTCTATCACGACGTCAGTCAACTGCCCCTGGTGTAAACATGGCATGACTACAGGATGTTGCAGGGGCTATGCGGCCGAGGTGTATCTCAAGCAGAGGCTGCACTAGGTGCAAGCCGCGCTCAAATGTGAAGGAACGGTACGAAAAGGAGTCCTGGATGTGTTGCTGTAGATGATGGTGGGCGGGAACTTGCTTGGACCTCTAGAAATGAGAAATGTGTTTATTACGTGTACATATACAAGGTCTTTGCCGCCCCTTATAGATGATATTATCTTCAATTACAACTTTCACAGCTTCAGCATGGATGACTTGAGGAGCATAGTACATGCTAGTGGTGACACATAATGTGGGTTGTTGCTGTGCACAAGGTAGCTTTTTCCCTTCACTTGTATGCAACACTGGGCGATTTGGACAAGTACGATGGCTCAGGTAAACGCATCAAGGCAAGGAAATGGTATCTCGCGTTACTCCATGCGTATGCTCTTCAACGACGTCAGCGCTGGCGACCAGACCTGCTGGCCCTCTCCATCCCCTGTCCTTTTCACGTCGAAGACCCGCCTGGTCCCTGCTCCGGCCTACTAATTTTGAGGCTCTCTTCCATGGCCTTCCTCAGGTCCTTGTCGTTCTCATCCTCGTCCTCGACTTTGGCCTTGCCCTTTCCATGCTGAGATCGAAAGCTGTCTTCGGCTAGGCTCTGCTTCTTGACATACTCGAGCACAATGTCCTCCTCCGTCCTAGCCGCCTGGTCCTTCTGACGGAGATCTTCGTGTGCTGTCTTGGACTCCTCAATCGCGCGGCGGAGCTCCTCGTCGTGGTCGGCCAGGTTGCTGCTCTTTGAAGCTTCGATGGCTCGTTTCAGGTCATCTTCGTGCGTATCGCCGTGTGCTTGGCCGCTCGGAATCTTGGACGCCTCTAAAGCGCGCTTAAAATCTTCGTCATCATCTGGCGCGCCCTCGCCTGGCCTGATGCCGGCCGAGCTCATCGTCAAACTCTGCTGCATGGCCTTTTCAATGAGCTCCTGGTACTCCTGATCCGTGATTTGAAGATCTTCTTCCCCTTCGTCCGAGTCGGCGGCAGGGTGGTTCGTGCCCGGAAGACCCTGTCCAGAACTGCGCATCTGATTGACGCTCGCGCGGATGGCCTGCTCGACTTGCGCATCCTCTTCAGGATTACCACGCGACGTCTCGGCCACAGAAGCCCGGATGGCTCTCTCGTAGTCTTCGTCTTCAGCTTTGCCGTGGGCCGAGCCGCCAGAATCAGCACGACCTTGTTCAGATAAGAAGGATGGAATCTGCAGATCAACCTGAGAGGTCTGTGACTTGTTCTTGCGCGCATGTAGGGCCTTGCGCTCATCGAATGAAAGGTGTTTTGTGTAAGAGAAACCTGTTCTGGGCGGTTCGTCCTCTCCCGGCAACTCAGCCGGCTCTCCGCGAGCTTGACGCTCAGCGCGTTGCCGCTTCTCTTCCTCCTTCTGCTCCTTAATCTTAAGTGCGTGCCACTTCCGGAGATCGTACTTGACCTTGTTCCAACGGACGAGGATATCCTCATGCTGTTCGGGAAGGGAATCGTTGAGTTCGAGCTCGCCTTGTTTGATTCGAGATGCAATGATGTAGTTCTGTACACTGCTCGCAAACTGGTTCCGGAGCGACGCGTGGACGCCTTGCATGGTGTATGCTGGTATGGACCAGAAAGCTGTCAAGAAATGTCAGTCTTGGATATGGCCGCATGCAAAATTCACATACCTGCGGCGGGCTTCGTCATGATGCCACCAATACCTTTAGCGAAGCCCTTTGCCAGGCCTGCACCGCCCTCTTTTTGGGCTCCTCTTAATGGCTGGGTCACCAGACCAGAGATGCCGTCGTATAGACCTAGACCAAACTCTTTGCCAGCGACCTTGAGCCCAGTGGGCAAATCAGTTACCTTCTCAACAGGACGAACTGTCTCATCTCCGTAGAGCTTCGGCACGTTCCTGAAGCCTCTCGCAAGGCCGAGACAAAAGTTCATAGGCGACTTAACACCTGTCGTCACTATGCGACCAACACTCTCACTGGCACCCATGACCCGTTCTGCTGTCTCGTCAAGCTTAAATCCACTCGATGACGATGTCTTCCTATTGTTGGCGGGCTTATCTTGGGGCTTCAAGCGATCAGCGTTGGTACCCAGCTCTTCGGTGGAGGCGGTTGAATCGGTGTGGGTGAGCTGAGTTTGACTAGAAGCCGCGGGACCGCTAAATGTCGAAGAATTTGATGACATGATTTGGCTTGTTTCGGTACCTTGCAGCTCGGCCTTCAAATATTCGGCATCCTCTTGAACTGTTGGATGCTGCAGGCTGGAGAGCGAGTCGCTGGTGAGCGCTTGCTGTGAGCTGCCTCTTTCACCAGAGGATCCAGTCGGAGTGGAATCAGCCTGCGGTGTTGACGGGCCTGACTCTTCCTTCTGCGGTTTGGGGCGAGACTTGAAGAGCTCGCGAGGGAAGTCAGCGATTGCCATGCCAATGCTGCTGATATCTGCGACGAGCGAGCATGTAACGGCGGAAACCGGATCCCAAGGTTGCTCTTCAGTATTGTACTCTTTAGGTCGAAACCTCGGTCATGTTAGATTTGCAAGGTAGGAACGCGTGGGAATTTCGCTTACAGTTTCAGATCTGTGTACTTGATCTGCTGCTTGTTCACCAAAACGGCTGCAGCAAGAGGGCTCAATGCGACCTGCGTCCGCCTGACTCTCCACGCCGCTGTCCGACTAGGCGCCAGCGCACATCGCAGGTCGTCGACATTGAGATGGCGATGGAAGCTCTTTCCGCCTTCTTCGCTACCCTTCTCTTCGCGAATCTTGTCACCCAGCTCCTGCGCGCGAGCTTGGGTCTCAGACTTCATGCAGTAATTCAGAGCATCCGCAAGCTTCTCGCTCGTGAGATCCTTGTACGGTATAGGTGCAGGACCGGCTCCAGCTCTCTCGACCATGGCGCCCCAGAATGGCTGGTCACCAAAGAAAGGCACAACGATGGTGGGCTTGCCTGCCTGAATACCTGCGGCGCTGGTTCCTGCGCCGCCATGATGACACACGGCGGAGACATGCTTGAACAACCAATCGTGAGGAACGTTGCCAAGCATGAAGACACCATCAGGTACTCCAATCGACTCAGCTCCCAGGCCGCCCCAGCCCTTGGATACCAGGGCTCGAATACCGGTGGCCTGGACTGCTTCAAAAATCATTGTAGTGAGGGCGTTAGGGTCATCCACGACGATTGACCCAAATCCTATGTAAACTGGGGGCGGACCGGCCTCCAGAAAAGCGGCCAGATCAGGGTCAGGGGTAAACGAGGAGGCGAGATTGAGGAAGAAGAAGCCTGAAATGTCGATGTTGTTGCCCCAGTCATTTGGCTTCGGAATGAGTGCCGGCGACCAGCAGTATGTGTAAGGGATGCGCAACCTCGTCAGCAGACCAGGAGCCCAGATGAGGGAGATGGGGTCCAAATCCAGAGCCTTTGCTCGGAACCTGTTGATGACATCGCCGAGACCTTGCCATGTCATCATCTCTACTAGAGCATAAGATAGGTAGCTTGTCATGACAGCATCCGTGTTGGTCGACTGGATGTTGGCGAGGGGATGAGGGAATGCCCGAGTTGGCGACCAGGGCATCGTGAACATCATGTGCAGCGGGATGCCTAGCTTCTCGGCAATATGAATGTGAGCAAAGCTCGGAGGGTTCGCAATGATGGCATCCGCCACAAAGGGTCGCTGATCGCCCGGTCTGAAAACCTCAGTCTCTTCGAGAGGCTGGTCTCTGCGATGCTTCTTCGGCGGCGGTCCGAGCCCGTTGCCAGCCTCGATGCAGGACCTCCAACAACCGAGAAGTATATCCTGGATGCCCTTCCTCCGCTTGCTGATCTCACCATTTTTGAGGGCATCAAAGCCCGGCATGAGACCTGGATTCTTGACCATGAAAGCCATGAGTTCAGCAGGGTCGCCTCCTATACAGAAAAACTCGAGCCCAGCGTCTTCGACGAAGCTTTGAAAAGTAGCGTGTGTTGCTATACGAACACGGTGCCCATACTCGAGCAATATCTTGCCAAGTGCCACAAAGGGCTGAACGTCGCCTCTGGATCCCACAATCTGTATGACGATGTTCATGGGTGGCGGCGGCGTCTGGCCCGGCTGACCACCGAGACTGGGTGGGATGTAGGCCGGAGGGAGGGGAGCATCGGCGACGTTTTCAGCGAGCTGTTGCCTCAGAGTTGGGGCAAGCAGATCAGTGAGGCGCCTGTTCTTCTGATTGATGTTGATGTTGACTCGTCCATCCTCTGTCGAGCGTCAGTTGTTTGATTTTCAGAGAGCCCCGAGGGCCGGCAGCATGAGCGCTCACATACCGGTAACACTTGCGCCGGCTTGAATGCCGGACTGTGACAGCTGAATCTGGTCATGAAGCTCGCCGTAAGCGGGGGGTGCTTCAGTCTCCGCCTCCAGGTCGGGCAGACTGAAGCCGTCAGAAGAGAAAGCGATGCCAGACTGTTGTCGTGCGTTGGGGCGCGGTCTGGTATGCGCCGTGTCAGAGTTGCTCGCACCCGTCGGTGCAGAGCTCCCTATGGCGGTCTTATCAACGGCCATATTGGCTGGTGAGGCTTGCAGACGTGGTACAACGTCAAGATCCCCGAGCACGAAGCGTGTGCGTCCAGGTGCTGCGTAGAAGCAGTGCAAGATAAAGACTCCTCAAAAAAGGCGGGATGTATGGAGAGGTTACGAATGATGCTTCGTCATCTAGGCGGCAGCTTTGTGCAAACTCTAATCAAATGTGATATCGTGCCGAGTCGGTGCCGGTCATGAAGCTCCACGTCGTGTCCTCCAAGGGCTGGTTGGTTTGAGCGTGAAGGCTGTGCAGGTGTGGTGCGCGATTCAGTTCAGTGTAGGAGCCACTGAGTCCCAAGAGCGAAATGACGAAGACTGAGAAGGCAATAACAAGGGGGGCCCGCCAGATATGTATACGATGGAATTCAAAGAGGGACAACGCAAGGCAACATGGCATGCAGCTAGGATAGGTAGCACCTTGTGGAGGCAAAACGAGGCCTAGAAGTCAGGCGCTCTGCGGCAAGAGGTGGAAACTGGGCGATGAGGGGGAGGGGAAGGTGCGCGAGAAGGCAGTGACGTACGATGCTGATCGCCCCTCCCCCCCTGAGAGCTGCACTCCAAGGTACCTGACGCTGACAGAGTGCCCTGGCGGGATGCACAGCAACCTTCCAACCATCTGCCAGGTCAAGCGAATCAGGAGCCAGCTGCGCTCCTTCTCGCCCGGTTTCCAGATCCAGCCATTATGGCGTAACCTACCATTTTCACTGCCACCACGAGTGGCATGTCAAACTCGCATCTTACCGTCTCATTTAGCATGTGCCTTCTGGAGCAGGTGAAGCTCAGGGCCGTGGCTAACTTGACAACGCAATGACTTGACGTCTCTGCTTGTCAACCTGATCAAAGTGCCCTGTTCCTTGCCCACCTTGCAACATGTCATGTCCTCTTGTAAGGACTTCGAGGTAGCACCTGTCGGCTACATGCAACTACACACCAACACGCAAACACACTCCACGGTTCAAACTGCAAAGGGCGTCAAGATTCCTCGCCTAGACATCCCCATGAAACTGGTATAATACATCCCAACCACTCCTCCTGCACAACCGCCCCTGGTACCCGTGCCCGATGCCGAGGCAAGAATGGTGACCCCAACAGGAGGCAAGAGAACGTGCGCCGTCCATTAGAGCAGGCCCTGAACAGAAAAAGAGTCGTGCCTGCTTTTCTTTTGTTCGTCTCGCCGCACCCAGGATATCCCGCAGGGCTCGAACAACCGCGTCGAAAAAGGGTCGCAACCGTGATGCAGTCGCGCTCGCTTCTCCAAGCTGATTTTATCGGCTCAGCCCAATCGTTGTCAATTCATCCTCGTCAATGAGAGCGCGCGCCGTTTAGCTGGAAAACTTCCTGGTGACCTTGGCGATGACTACAGTGATGTGTTAGAAAATGATGTGTATAAAAGTGATGCGTGTGGTTTGGCGGCAAAGGCAAAACGTACTGTGCAGAGCGACAACGCTGAAGATGAAGACGAGAGACAGAACGAGAACGACGACGGGGTCGACCTTGAGTCCGGGGGACTCGTCGGTGTACAGCCCTGTTGAGAAAGCACGAGTTAGCAAATCACGGCCCGCTTGACATTCTCCCTTTTAACTGAGATTGGGCGTACTCAGCATGGTGCTGGAGCTGCCGCCGGCGCCGGCGGCCCTCGTGCTGCTTGGCCTGGCATTGGCGATCTTCTCCTTCTGGTCGGCGGCGGCGCGGCGACGGATGGCGGTACGGGGGCCGCCGGGGATCGAAGGCGACGAAGGGCGGGCGATGCTGGCGCCGGACGCGGCGGGGGTGCCAGCAGGCGAGGCGGCGCGAGGAGAAGACTAGAAGTAGGCCTCCGTGTCAGTGGACTGGTTATGTTGTCTTGGGTAGGTCCTCGCGATGGGCCATCGTGGCCTCGTCGCGGCGAGCGTGTCCTCCTCAACGCCCCCTTAGGAGATCGGCCATTGTTCGTGACGCTGCATTTCGGGACATACCATTGTAACGGTCAAGGAAGCGGAGGGCCCTGGGTATCACTGCAGGATGGTCGGGTCGAGTTTGATGTGGGAGGGGATGGATGAATTAAGCTCGGCGATGGGAAGAAGGCAAGGAGGTTGATGGGGGCAGGACAGGTTTGTCTCTCTCTGCTACTGTTGGACACGGACACCCACCCAAAAGAGGCCACATTTTTGGAAAGGGGACCTACCCGCCTGGGTCGCTTGCAGTGGAGCGCGTGCGGGCGAGCTGCCACCATCGACCAGATGCGAACCGGCGCGCCGATGTTCTTCCGACGCCTGCTTGATTCCAAAGGCAAATTCCAGGCCTCTTGTCCGTGCCTCTAAGCTCCACCCGACCGCGCCTGCATCTCTCCAGGTTTCCCCACTGGCCACCCGCCATGGGATGTGATCTGGCCCCCTTCCCCTCACACGTGAATTCCATCTGAGTCGTACCCTTTCGGCGCATCAGTCATTCGGGTGCCGGTCAGTATTCAATCAGAATGAAGAAGAAAAATAGCAAGAAGCCGTGGAACGCCGACAGAAAAATCACTTCGTCATGTAAATAACAGTCAAATCCGGTAACTCTTAAATTGGTATGGTGTACGAATGACGCGGTATTTGCTGCCGGACGCTGCTCCTTGAGCTCGCCAGCAGCTCGACGCCATCTTCTGCTCTCAAGCCAGCCGCATCTACTGCGGTCTGGAAACCACTTCCTATCGACTGGCTACTCACTCCCGCGCAAATGCAACGACGGAGAGCGGGCCTGCTCGCAATCTCGATCATGTGCGTGTATGGACTGAAACAATGTAAAGCTGAGTAAAAAACAACAACACTGCCTGACGAACCCTCCACCACTGTCCGTCATCATTATCCCAAAAACGCACTCAAAGCCATACTTCTGTCGCCCACAATGGGCTCCAACACATGCTATCTAGTCCTGCCACAACGCGTGTGAAGTCGGCTATGTGTTCAACCTGTTTGAGCGGGACTGGTATCAATAATCGATAGAGCATTTGTTCGCGTCGTGAATCGGTTTGGGGCTTTGTAAGGGCACCGTGTTGTCGCCAATGCTCGTATATAGATTAGACAGTAATACATCTACACCAAGAAAAAATAAAGCAGAATCGCAACCGAAACGCCTGCCGCTATGATGGGGGCGGAATCCCGTACCCTTGGGCGGGACTGCGAACGAGAAAGAAGAGAAGGGGATGGGGGTATCATCAGAGAGTGACATCGAGGACCAGGCTGACGTCTTGCACGTTGGCGCCTGCCAAGTCTTCGAGGACTGGGATGAGATCAAGCAGCTCGTTGTCGTGGGCGTCCGAGAACCAACTGCTGATGGGTACGGCGTGTTGCGGGTGGAAGATGTAGGACGTAGGAGAATTGTCGATGATGATCGTGTCTTTCAAGTCTCGTCCCACCTGGGAGAGATCCTTGACGTAGTTTCCTTGGTGGTTGTAGCAGCTCTCGCGGAAAAGCCTGTGGTGAACGACCTTGTGGATGTCGAGCTGGTCCAGAAGGGGGTCGCCGTACTGAGAGGCGGCGTCAGTCAATCAAACACGATATTTTTAGTAGAGCAATGTAATCTCACCTTAGAGACGGATGCTGTGAAGACAACGACTTCATACAGCTCACCGACGCGCTTCATGAACTGGTCGACGCCGGGTCGCTTGATGACGTAAACGTTGTGGTAGTTGCCCTCAATCTCAACCGGTATGGTGAAATCAGCCTGGTGCAGGATCTGGCGTTGTGTTAGCACGCAACGAGCTTGGGGAACCCTGAGAAATCGCTCACCTTGAACGAACTGTGCACGAGTGTCTCATCGAGGTCAAGCACAAGACACTTCTTTCCCTTGAATTCGGGTGCGATGGGAGGCAAGAGCGAAATCCTTTGCGGCTCTGAAATTGGTAATTGCGCGGCCTCGGCGTTGCTCACAGGCAGAGGTGGGATACTGGTGGTGGGCGCCGGACCCGGAGGGGGAGGTGGGACTTGACTCGACTGAGATTCGGGCGTGGGGACTTGACCCTGTGCCTTCTCTTCAGCTACCTCAGGTATCGTGGCATCGGCCATGACTTCGTCGCCGTCAACATCCTTGGTCGTCGTGGGAATGTCTTCAACCGGCGCAGGCTCGGGTTTCGTGTCGGCGGACCTATCAACCGTAATAGCCGGTGCATCCGCGACGCCGCCGGCTGCCGGCTGCTTGTGATCAGAGCTCTCTGGAATCACTGGCACGGGTTCGTCAACGGCCGTGGTGTTGGAACTCCGCTTGCCCTTTTGTTCGGCGGCCGTCATTGGAAGTTCTGGTTGAGGCTGCTTCTCCTGCAGTTGGCTTTTGCTAGATGAAGGCTGGTCCTGTGGGGTCGCCTGCCTAGACTTGGATGTCGTCGGCCTAGCTGGGAGCCTGTCAAGTTTGTGGACACCCTGCTCGTTTCCTTCCAAGGCCTGCGCGCTGTCGGGAACCCCGCAGCATCCCAATAGGGAAAGGAGGCCGCCCTTCTTCTTCTTCTGGGGCGGGTTTGTGGGCGAATTCAACTGCGAGTTTCCGGGTGTGTTGGTCGGCTCAGTCTCAACCCCCGATCGGCGGCTGGAAATACTGCCGTTACGTTGACCGCCCATGATGCTGCTTCGAGATCCTTTAGACCTGT